GTTTTTTCTTTTTTAAGGTAAGCTAAAGATGCATTTTTATATGTTCCAAAAAGCTACTGATTAGCTTTTGATTAAGGCCATAATAAACTAAGATTAATTAAACTAGTGTGGAAGTCACGAAGTTGTACTTATTGTGAATGATACCTAATTATATGGTATCTGTTAACCAAAAACGAGAAATCGTACGTTTTGTTTTGCTTGTTTATTTTTTTCTAAAAAGACTTTTGAAATGAAGGAGAAAAATAAAACTGGAAAAGAAGAGAACCCTTTACGTTATATCATGCAACTATTGATAGAAAAGACGTAAAGTGAAGCAGAAAAGCTAATAATATAGTAGGTTGAAAGGTCCTGCCTTGCTAGCTAGGGCTTGCTGTCTGTCCCTTCCTTTCCTTTCCTTGCCCTTCCCAATAATAATATACCCTCTGGCTTCCTCTGCTCTCCACAGTCTTCAAAAACCATAACTTCACACACATACATATGCAGTGATGACGTCCTTCGCCCTTTTCTCTCTCTCCTCTCTCTCTCTGTCTCTCTCTTCTTTTTCTTCTTTGCTTTTCTTTTATTCTAGAGCTGTTTGACGGATTCGCGTACTGTGACACTTCAGTCTAGTCTCTCTCCTGAATGTTGTCACCCTAACCCTAACCCTTCCACCAATATCGTGTCATGGTTTATGGGGCTATTGCCAAACACCTAAAACGTGAGTAAATTATATAAATTGGTCCCTTTAGTTTTAAGAAATGACTAATTGGTTCTTTTTTAAAAAACAAATCAAATTTTGAAAGAGAAAGAAGAATAACTAGTTAATTTGTTTTTCGAAACTCAAGAAAACTAATTTATAATTTACCCATAAAATAGATTTAAGAATTTTAAACAACCCTTGTTGCTAATTGATGGTTTATAATTACCCTCTATAATCAAAATAATCATTACTTGAATTTTTTTAAATTATCACCCATCTTTTAGAATTTAAACCTAAAACCTTTTAGATATATATTATAGGTTAAAAAATATGTTGAAATTATGATGATAATGGTGATTATGACATAGGTGATCGTGATTGTTGTAACAATAATTTGATCATAGTAATAAGATGGTATGATGATGTTTAACGTGACGGTGATGGATAAATTATTGAGATGACAACTCTTAGTTTTAAGGATACTAATATAAAATATTAATTAAAAATAAATTTCAAGGACTATGGTGTAAGGTTGAGAAAATTTAAGGGATAGGAGTTGAGATATGAAATGGAGGGGTTGATGATGATGATTATATTCTTAACAAAATATGATGGTTGGTATTTTAATTAAAAAAATTTAAATTATTTTACAGAGTTTTAAAAAATTATATTAACTTTGATATGGTGTTTAAAAAATAAAATTATTAAATAATATTTAAGAAAAAAAATTATATTAACTTTTTTAAAATGGCGACAATAGTTGTGAGGTGGTGGAAGTAATTATAATTTTTTTATACATAAATATTAAAGCATTTGATCATTATATAGATTAGTTCAACATCGTATCATGTTTTGTATTTAATGATTTGTAAAAATCGAAGTTTTTAAATCTATTAGCAATCTATATTTAGTACCGCACATATTAAAAAAAAAAATTTGTGGAAAATATATTTTACAAAACAAACATACATGTAGATTGATAATCTAAATTTATTTTATTGAATATAAATAATATAAGTTTTATGGTTAGGAACTACATTCTCTTACACATCACACATGCACAGAAGAAAGTTTACAGTCTGATCCTTTTAAAATCTTCCATTTTCCTTTTCAAATGCAAATTATATAAGTTCCTTAAAAGCTTGCGTGTGAGAACATGTACAAAAATTCAGCATCAAATTATTCGTGTCCAGCTTGTACTCCATCATAAGAACCACACATTCCCCGGCCCCAAATTGTGCCATCTTTGGATCTTGTAGATTTTCTGTTCTTGAATAGGATCATATGCTTGGGGCACATATATGGAAGACATGACATTAAACTGTTTTTCCTATGCTGAACATAACCCTTTTCTTGATTTTGTTCACTACCCTCTGTTATCTATGTTTTTTCAATGGATATTTTCTTAGATTGGGTCATGAACATGATAGAAATACATGTACAAGTACAAAACTTATAGATCAGACGACAATGTTAGCAGTAAAAGAAAGGAGGAAAATGCAGTGAGTGTAAAGGAGATTCCTGATAGTTGTTTTGGCAGATTTTCCTCCTCTGAATATTCTTCGTTAACGCGGTATAAAAAATCTTCGTAAATATATTCTCATGAAATGTATATGTTTTTGACCGAAATAAGGTCCAATATTTGAAATAATTTCAGAATTTTTTCTTGACTTTATCCATGACAACAAACAATTCGAAATGTCTCTTTTTTTTTAGAGCAGTTTCGAGTCAAATAGCAATGAAAATTTAAACTATTAAAGAAGTAACTAAATAGGTTTATTTAAAAAGATAGATAAAAATAATTACATCGGAATTTATTAAAAGCAATAATATTATTTTCCTTTAGACTCAATTTTTTTTTTTGTATCTATTTTTATTTTACAAAATAAATAGCATTAATTACTGCTGGAATAAAATAAAAAACGTCGTCTTCAAGCTACATTGGCTTCTATCTTATGGTTAGTTGATAGATACAAATCGATCGTTTTCTTTTTCTAGTATATGTAAAATTTTGTGGATAGAAAAGCCTAACATTTACAGTGTCTTCTTTACGTATCTAAGTCGGAATTGAACCTTTACGTACAGGACAGATGGTAACGGAGGATTTAAGGTTGGAGGGAAGCAGATTTTTCTTAAGAAAAGTAGAAATAAACGTTTAATTGTTAAGAAATATTCAACCCTTTTTAAGCATAAATATCATTGTTTTTTCGTTTTATGGATATTAAACTAATTTTGCTTTTGAGTACTAAAGGAGACAAAATGCAATATCCTTATTTTTAGAAAATGAATCAAACAAGAAGATAAAAAACAAAAATAATAAAAGCAATCATAGAATACAAGAGAAATTATGCAATTGTGTTTATTACACAACTCCACTAGAATTTCTTATTAAATTTTTCGATCAACATTCAATGTTATAGATATTGTTCATATTTATAGTATGAGCAATTAGAGTTATTAAAATAAAAAAACTTTATTGATCTGTATATCTAGTTTAATATTTTATGTTGACTATGCATAGTGTCCTATAGATATTGTTCATATTTACAGCATAAAAAATTAGAGTTATTAAAAAAAGACAAACTTATAAACCTATATATCTAGTCTAATATCCTATGCTAACTCTGCTTAGTATATTATGTTGCGAGTTCTATTCATATCGGTTTTTATAAATTAACACTTATATATGAAATATTAAAAAAAAAAATTCTAGGGACAAAGGGAATTAACATTTTAACTTTACAGTGATGAATTTTGAATCTCTTAAACAATAATGACTAGACACACCAATTATGAAAGAGGAGGAGGGAAAAAAAAACTCAATCTTTGGTAGAAGGGCCAACCCTATCCCCAATTTGGTTTTGCCACTTGGCACCAAACTCGTTCGTAATTAAACTCGATTTTTGTAAGTGTAAATTATAAATTGGTTACTTTATGTTTTAGAAACAAATTAATCAGTCATTCTTGTTTCAAAAATTAATTACTTAATCATTTAATCAATATTAACTGTACTTAATTTAATATTTTTTATTTAGAAATTTGTTATTTTTCTCATGGATTATTTTATATTTTTTGATTATATATTTTTTTGTTTTTCTACTTCTTAAAACACAAAAAATCAAAAAATCAAAAAAAATGAAAAATAACAAAATGGGTTAAACTATAAAAAAAAATTAAAAATAGTGATTGAATAATTAGTTTTTGAAATAAGAGAAACTAATTAATTAATTTCTTGAAATTAAAAGGACTAGTTTATAATTTACTCATTTTTGTAGGAGTCGCTAGCCACGTGAAGCACAATTCGTACATGTGGAGTCTTCCAAAACGAAAAATAATGGAAGGAACATAAAACACACAGTTTTGAGGAAACCATTCTTTAGTCCCTAGTTTTGAATGAGAGTATATTTTAGTCTTTTGTTTTGGAAAAACCAAAAACACTTTCTTCTTCAAATTGCTTTGGGTCTTTTCTACCTTTCATTATTAAAACAACTATTACTTTTAAGAAATTAACAAAAAGTCAAGTGAGCAATCTGGGATTGTTGATGTATGTAAAATAAAAATAACATTTGTTTTTGATGAAAAAGTCCTTTGTTACGTGAAAGCTAATGGAAAGAACACTAGAATTGGTTTGGTTTTTAAGCTAATGAGATGGTTTGCCATGAATTTTTGTTGGTGGGTTTGAGTTTTAGAGAAACCACGGTTTGTTTTTGAAGTGGATTATATATTTGTGATCAATTCAAAATGGGTTTGTTAATTTTGAGATTTTGATGCAATTTGGTATTTATTAAAAAACATATCTAGTATAGAATAATTAAATAAAAACTAATTAATATATAACGTTAAGAAAAGATCATCTATCATAAGTCTTAAGTCTTTTTGATAGAATTCAATATCGTTAGTCAAACTTCTATATGATATTAAAGCTTTAAAGAGAACAAAGATTTTAGAATTCAAACAACTTGACAAATCTCAATAGATGCACTACAAATGAATGATGAGTGTTGAGAGAAAATATCTCATATTAAATGATTAAATAAAACTTAAATTTTTTAGATGGAATTCAATTTTAATTATTTAATTTTATATGATATTTAACTATTGTGTAGATTTTTAAGAATTCATTTTTACTTATTTTGTTTCTTTTAAATCTTCAATTCTCTATTATTTTTAAGTTCATTGGAATATTTCGATATATTGGGTTTTAGAGATGTATAAATGAATTACATTTTTATTGATTTGATTGTATGAAAAATTGATGAAAATAGAGGTTAAACCTAAGATAACACAAGTTTTTTTCAGTAAGATATTATAAGAAAAATAGATGGAGGTTGAGGAAGCCAGCACCTCTAGCTCATCGAATCCACACGTGCATGGCCTTGTCATTTATACAGTCTTTGTCCTTCGCGTGCTCGTAGACATGTTTTCATTCAATTGCCCTTCCGTCATCCATTACACCTCCATCGCCGCCACATTAATCGGCGGAGAATGTAAATCAGGGGTTAAAACAGTTTCAGCTCATCAGGTATGAACATAGAAAATTGAGCGTGTTGGAGAAAATTATTTTTATACCTAGTTTTTTTTTCTTTTCTTTTTCAGGAAAAAAAATTGTATTTCTTTTGTTTTTTCTTTTTCTTGCGGCGTAAATAAATCCGACATGTCATGCCATAACACTTGATATTTTTTTTATATATGTCATTTTTTATATAAAAATTAACCGGAAAAACTATAGGAATCACATTTAAAAAATTTTAAAAGTAAAAAGGGGTAATAAATAAATAAAAAGAATAGAAATACCATAGTAAGAAAATCTAAAAAGTAAAGGGATGTTTCTTGCTATTAATCCAACACATCAATGATGAATTCAATCAAGCACTTGATGCCTCTCCTTTCTTTTTACATGGACTTAGCATATAGTCTTTCCATGATCAGGTCCCTAGCTATATGCCTGCCTCTTGCCTGCACAAGTAGAGTACTTCAAGTACTATGTTACTGTTCCACTAGCCATGTACGCAGAGTGGAAGGTTTTAGACCCAATTTTCACTTTTACTCTCCTTTTTACTAGTTTTCTTGTTCTTGTGATTTTCATTTATAATCTTGTAAATCCATGCTTAAATTTCCCCTTAATTAAGATGCAAATCATGATAATATTAATAACACTCCTTATAGAGTTATATAATTAAAATTGAATTCTATAAAAAAAATAGATAATTACGAATTACTATTTTCAATTATATATATTATATATATTTTATTTAATTATTTAATGTGAAATATGTTTTGTAGTATTTTTTATTTATAATTTATTTTTTTAGATCTGTCAATTATTTTGAACTTAACGATCTTTACAAGGTTGTTAAATATTTTTAAGACTTTGATACCAATTGAATTTTATCTAAAAAAATTAAATCATACACCATGTAACTTTTTCTCATCTTGTATGTTACTCATAATTTTTTTTTTAATTATTCAATATCAAATGTAGTTTCAATCACTCATGCCACTTGTATTATACATTATTATTTATATATTGGTTGAGGGGGCCGGGAAAGGGTGTAGACGGGGGGACGAGGAAGAAGAGACAATTTGGCGAAGATGAGTGGAGGTAAAAAGTCCATGATTCTTTGAAGCTAGATAGAGCCACCATCCTTTAATGAGAGAGAGGTAGAGAAGCAGAGACATTCGGACTGTCCCACAAGCTTTATCAGCTTTTGAAGCGGCGGTAACCCACTTTTTTTCTCTGCTAAAACTTCTTGGATTAGATGCTATGACTATGACTAACCTAATAATTAGGCTGTAAGAAAAGCTACACCATACATATCCCATTTTCAATCCTGCAAAAAGATTTTCTTCCTTCTGTTCATTTTTCGTCTTCAACTGTCCATGACTCCTACTTGAGGCTACATGTGTTTTGCGGACGGAGGTAAGGCAGGAGTTAGGCCTTTTCTTTTCCAATTTATGGGATCAGATTGCAAGCGAGGGTAATCAATTTCTTGTGTGTGTGTGTGTTTTTTTTGACCTTCTTTTGTTCTTTTGCTGATTTTACAAAGAGCATGATGGATGATGTGGGTGTAAAAATTATTTGGTATATATATTTTTATATTCAACAAAACTTAAAAACTTCAATAGCTTCATTTTATAGTTTCATCATATGGTTTCTAAAATAGTTTTAAAACGAATTTTAGAATTTTATTAAACATTTTTTCATTAGAACTAGAGAAAAAAATTGCTAAAAGCTCTTAAAAAAAAATCTAAAAACCATGTTATTGGGTAATATATATTGTATAAATGTTGTTATGTTGTAATATATTAAAAAAAATCTTTCTCTATTCCTTTTCTTATAAATTTAAATAGCAATTATGTAATAATAAGGATAAATCTCCAACAAAGAAGCCAACGCCTCCAAATTATCTTTCTAAATAATTTATGAGGATGACACTTGACCAGAACATCAAAAGAGAGTTTGACATAGGGACAAAAAATGCCTTATGGAATGTGATTATTTGAGTTTGATTTAAAATGAAAATTTATAGTATTGTATTTTTACCATGTTTGATTAATTCTGAAAAAAAATCATATCCAAACAATATTATTACCTTATATTTAAAATTCAAATCAGTTCAATCCGACAATATTGACAGTCGTAACAATTATATACATAATAACATAGATTTACCGTGTTGAAAACTAATGTATTGAAAGCAATCAAATAGTAAAATTATTTTTTTTGATATAAAAATACAAATATCTTGTTGAAGAAATATAAGTCGTAACTCCCAAGTAAGAAACATAACTAGGTTGTTATGATGTCTAAAACAATTGTTTTGCTGATAAAAATTGTTAAAAAAGGAATCATGTAAAAAAAATTAAAATAAACAACAAAAATAATCACATTATAAAATTAGTATAGTTCGACAATACATTTACTTCACGGATGCATTTGAAGTTTTTATTAGAATTTTCAATCAATTACAAATATATGAGATAATCTCTATATTTATAGTAAAATTATCGTATTGGTTCTGCATAACATACTAAATTATGTATTATATTCACATCAATCATCATGATTTAATAAAAAATAAAAATCTTAACACCATGGACAAATTATAAATGTGGCAATTTTCCACCGGTTTAAATTTATTGAGTCCCACAAAATCACATAATTGAAAACTATTAGAAAATTTGTGGTGTAACCACAACCTAAGATTCGACGAAATTCAATCTGTTCCCTCATTGAAACATTTAAATAAAAAAATAAAATTATTGATATCCAGACGCTATAGAATGTGATATTCCTAATTTTAAAAAAGAGTTTATATTTCCTAACTTTTAAGGGAATATGGTACCATACGTTATGTCATATCTTGAGAATTCAACTTCCCTAGCAAAAAGTAACAAATACTTTTTTTTTTTCACTTACTTGTTCGTTATTGGACTACATGTACTTACCAAAATATCATTTCTTGTTTTGTTGGTTGTATGTATTTTAAAAAACACTATCAATAGCTTATTGGTGCGATGCGACGATAATTAAGTTGGTTTTCATATAATTTTTTTTATCAATATTTAAAATTTTAATTATAAAATCATATTTATTGAAAAATATTAAAAAAATTTTCTAATTTGAATACGATTAGTATTATATTTAACATAAAATAAAAATAATTGAATAAAAAAATAAAAAAATTTTATAACCTATAAAATATACAAATCCATACCTTTTCTTATGGCACATAATATATATATATATATCTTGTTTTAATTTTTCCCTAAATAATCTTGATCAAAGTTTTTTATTACGAATTAGTATAAAACGATAAGTTATTTAAGTGATAAAATACGCTCAGATAAAAGAATATAAAAATAAAAAATTAATAATTCAAATAGATAAAATAAAAGATTAAGTATTGAAGTTATAGTTTTCTTTAATTTCAAACGAGATTTATCTTTTATCATATGTCATTGCAAAACGATTACATATCAATTAATACCAATCGTATTAGTATTTAATAATCTTAAGTAATAAAATAAAACGTAATAAAAAAATAAGTAAATTAAACAGATAAAATTAAAAAATTCAACACTAAAACATAACACAAATAAAAAACACTAGGCAGTAAAATTATAGTTTTCTAAGTACTTCATTAAAAAAAAAACATTGTGCTACATACCTAGAAAAAAGCATAGGCAAAGAAACATAGATAGAGGTTGTATAAGTTTTTTTTTTTTAGGAATCTAAATTTATTGGGTTACAGGAATTGGAGATGTTCCATGTCAAGTGCCTCACAATATTTCATCGAAATTCGAAGGGACATTCATATCACTGATTAAGACTTTTAAAACCCTCTTAAGTGTTATCTTACGTATCACTTAGTCATTGATCAAGATCCCTTGTGGTAGATTTGATCTGTGACATATAAAACACAAGTTGGAGAGTTATGGCATTGAAAGGGGTTGAAGCCCACCAAAAGAACAGGAAAGACAAGTGGGCACATTGCCACAGCCAACAAGAAAAGAAGAAGAAGAAAACAGAGGACATTGGGGGTGAGAAGTGGAGTTCTTTTGGGCCTAGGGTTAAGGTGAAGAAGAGGACAACAGCATATAAGTTTGGGAGAATATTAATTAACTGAGTGGACAGATTGCAATCAAAACTCTTCCACCCCACCCCGGTAAAAATCTTTGAGATGAAATGAAAGGAGCTGTAGTACTCTACAGGTGTTGAGAGAGAGAACGGTGTAGGATTATATTGATACCCGTGCCCCCTCTCAAAACCTCCATTTTACAGCACTACAGAGAGAGAGAGAGAGAGACAGAGAGAGTGTGTGAGTGGCAAATTTCTTTCTTGCTTGGTTTCTCTTACTTCCTCGATTTGATCGTTCCATTTTTCTTTCTTTACTTCTTTAACAAATAAGAGAAAAACAAAAGCTTTTTCTTTCTCTTTCTTTGCCAGTAATGGCAGTGGCAGTGCAAGAAAAGAGGGAGGTAGAGAGTTGAGTTTTCATCGGGAAGGTAAAGTTTTTGCTCAGTCCCTCAAAGATAACCCAAATATTTCCTTTCGTTTTACCATCTATCAACCCACCGCCACCCTCTGCTGCTTTCTCTCTATCTCTCGCGTGCTCTCTGCTCTTTCCCCTCTTTTAAATACAAGAAACTCAGAAAGATAAAACACTCATTCTCGAAGGAAATCTGTGCAGTCTTTTTTCTGCAGACAGACTCTACCTCTCTCTTGCCAAGATAGAACAAAACCCCCCACCAACATATAACAAAATACTGACTCTTTTGCTACTTCTTACTACCACTACAATCACTATTTAGGATTTCCCTGTAAAAAGTCTGTTCTTTGTAGCATAAATCTCGGGAGAGCACTGCACCATACTAATACTACACCCCACTTTTTGAGCAAAAGGAAAAAAGAAAAAAGATTTTGCATAGGTAGGTGAGAAGAAAAGAAAGAGAGAGAAGAGAGATGGGGTTAAATTTTTTGGTACTTCTACTACTACTACTTCACTAGTAGCTATTATCAAGTTGCAAGGCAGACAAGAGAACAACTAAGAAAAAGATAAGATAGTGAGAGAGAGATAATGGAGGGTGGTGGTGGTGGTGGTTCAAGTACCACTTCATGTATGATGGCTTTTGGAGACAACAGTAATGGACTGTGTCCTATGATGATGATGATGCCTCTCATGTCTTCTTCATCTTCTGCTCATCATCATCATCATCATCATCAAGTTAATGCGGGAGATTCATCAATATCAAATACCTTATTCCTTCCTCTACCTCCTGCCAACAATCAAGGCCAAAATCGTATTAATAGTAGTGCTAGTGGCTCTTCTTCTATGATTCTTGACGATCACAACCACAACAACAACACTGTCACTGCTACTGGGTGTTATTTCATGGAGAACAATGATGGTAGTAGTAGTTCTACTTCTGTTAAGGCTAAAATTATGGCTCATCCTCACTACCATCGTCTCTTGGCTGCCTATGCCAATTGTCAAAAGGTGAAGAAAGAAGCTAATATTTTTCAGTCTCAGTAACCCTACTGGCTAAATTCCCCAGAACCCATAAATATCTTTGTGATTCTTTTTACTCTCATGCATGCCTAGTAGCAAAACTCTTTCCCTTGTAGAAATTAGACTAACTAGGTTGCCCTCATACATATCAAGAATTATTGTAACTATGGATCTGAGAGGTGATCGATGTCTCCCAAATTCTAAACTTTTTGTGTGCGTGTGTTCTTTTGATGCATCCTAGAAGAATTCTGTTGCAAAGAAAGTGAGAGGTCAAAACCCTTTTGAGCAATACACATGATAGGGACACGAGCTTAATCACTTCTTCTCTTTCTTTCTTTTCCCCCTTCATTCATGGGATATATATGTAAATATAAATATATATATTTATAGCTCACATGTGTCAGTATTTCTTCAGGTTGGAGCACCACCTGAAGTGGTGGCCAGACTTGAGGAAGCTTGTGCATCTGCTGCTTCTATGGGCCCTGCTAACACAGGCTGCATCGGTGAAGATCCAGCCCTTGACCAATTCATGGAGGCTTACTGTGAGATGCTGACCAAGTATGAGCAAGAGCTCTCTAAACCCCTAAAGGAAGCCATGCTTTTTCTTCAGAGGGTCGAGTGCCAATTCAAAGCTCTTACTCTTTCCTCTCCAAATTCTGGTGATCATACCCTCCCCGTCTCTCTTTACTTCTCCCTCCCCTCTCCTCTCTCTCTGTTTCTCTCTCTCTCTCTCTCTCTCGGTGTGTGTTAAGGTCTTTTGAGCTCTAAAAATAATCTTGACTTGTTTATTATTGAAGTTTTATTTTATTTTATTAAAATACTAATAAGAATTCGTGCATGTGTTTGTTTCCAAGAAGGATTAATTAACTATATAGAAGAGGTTGTTTCCCAAGGTGGGTGCTATTCTTTATTTTTTCTTCTTCTATGGCCTATACATTTTTTTTTATCTTTCCTTCGATAGAACTGTTTGAGGTGGTAGGGTATCCATAGAGAAGACGGTATTTCTTGGTGAACATAGATGGGATGGTGTGAGTAAATATTCCCTGATTTGTTTCTCTTGGTGTTCGTATTTTATTTTGTTTCTCGTCAATTCTACTTGCCGTATTCGTAGATGTTGTCACATTTCTTTCTAATCGATATCGTTTCACTATTTATGATGTTGATGAAAACTAGGTTTTTGCATATTATACACGGTTTTGAAATGCAATTTTAAATACTTTTGGTTGAAAAAGCCTTATGGAGATTGTTATTTTGATGTCTGGCTGCTAGATTCTCAATTGCATTGAGGATTCTTCGAAGAGAGCAAGTCCTCCATCTGGCTGATAAGATTGTAATTGCAGGTTTTGATGTTTGAAGTTTTGAAAATGGGATTATATTTATTGAGCTGAAATACGTGGGGGGTTTTACTTTTTGTTTAGATTTTTAGGGTTCCTTGGGATTTTGAGTTCTCATATTGCGGACGGGTGGATTGTATTTTTGAATGAAGAATCTATAGTCGCAAGTACAGTTAAGGATCATTTGATGATAGTTGAATTCATCTGTTGGATTATTTGAGGTATGGAAGAAAGCTGTGTCCAATATAGAGGGATTTATGCTCCAACTGTTGTTTATTTTATGGACATTGAATCAGTTTCTAGTTTCTTTTTTTCTTCTTTTGCACTTCGAAGTCTTTAGCATTGCTAGAATTGGAGTAGGGTCACCTGTAGAATACTTCAACTACAGTACACTTTAAGGATTCACGGGCGTTGATTCACAATCTTTTGTTCTTCGTTCGTGATGATGAGCCGTAATGATAAAGCATGTATTTAATGGACTGAACTTCTTGAAATGTTGTCTGATTCATGTAGGCGTAGCTTATTGATGCAGCTGCGAGTATAGTCAATGTGTCAAACTTTCGATTCTGGAATAAAGGAAACATCTATGAACCTAATGCATGTTGCCTGATAGAATCGGACAACATTTTGGTATAGTTCAACTTTTGGCTGGAGCTAACTTGGTAGAATTTAAGATTGTATGTGTTGTGCGGAAGCTCATCCAGTTGACTAGTCCTCCGAGCCTTGAAGGGAGTTGTTGTTGTCTCTCGCCAATGGAAGATTTCTGTAATGCAACCAATAATTTCTTAACCAACTACCATAGTTAAAATTTAAAACAGTGCCTGTGATTATACACCGAAAGGGCCACAAATTGTTGGAAATGATCATAAACTTCTTTGAGGAAAGGTAAGCCTTGGTGATCGAACGACGCATAATGAAAGTATCCTCGCTTAACGGCGAGTAACCTAAGTCATATGAATTGAAGTATGCTGACATAAATACTATAGTACTTGCTGTTATGCATTGCATCAATTGATTCATACAGCTTATTTCAAGCTGTTTAATGAGGCAATTTTCTTCTTGCATTGTGTGTATTGTGAGTTAAATTTGCATTGTGCTAGTCGTTGTCCCCTTTATAAATGACAAGAGAGTAAGATATGCATCTAGTAAAGGATTTTTTGGTCTATCTAGTTCTGCATGGGCAGATAGTGCAGGTCTATATGGATTAAGAAGTACGCATAAATTCTTCTTACTTTGATGGCTTTGGAGTAAGTTATACTGCTGAGTCTAATACGAGCGCATATATGTAACAAGGTGTAAGTATCTTTAGAGATTAAGAAAATCCTTGTGCAATACATTTCACTTGCAACTAAATAATTAATTATTAAATTCTTGTGTCCTCTAATGTTTTTCATCTTATTAGTTGCTAGGATGGTGATGTGATGATTCTTTGATCAAAATGTAAGATTTTATGAGCATGAGCAAGGTAGGTGTAAGAGTTTCTGAAGCTTACAAATGTTTTTCGATCCTAGTTAAAGAAACCCTAATCTGCCTTATGAAGGTTTCTGAGTCAATGCAGGAGAAGTGCTGAACTTGTATTCAGATGATCTCTTCCTTTCCCTTTGCAATTATAGGGTAATTCACAATGAGGTAGTCTATCTAGAGTCTCGTCCTTCTTCATGAAGCCATACACATCAATGCAAGGGGTCTCTTCCATCGTAAATAGCTGTTTGATTAGGCTTTTAAGGATGTTTTATCAGAATCAAATTTCAGTCAACACGTTACTGAATCTTTTATGGTAATTCATGCAAAAATTAAGAGAAGGACCAGCAATACAATATCAGGATTGGCTCATCTCTTTGCCATAAAAATGCCTTTTCCCACCATTTCACGATGAGAGTTATTATCTAATGCATTTTGTAGGTGGTAATGTACCAAGTTTTTTGTACTTAATCGACAGTAATTGTGCTGTTTTACTATATTTCAATGTAGAATAATTGAAAATATGTGATACTAGTTGCTGCAGTAACTTTTTGTGTGTTAATCTAATGCATTTTGAGCTGCTAACTCATTTATGTTTCTATCAGCTTGTGGTGAGGGCAATGATAGGAATGGATCATCTGAAGAAGAGCTTGATGTGAATAACAACTTCATAGATCCTCAAGCAGAAGATCAGGAATTGAAAGGCCAGCTACTGCGCAGGTACAGTGGATATTTAGGTAGTCTCAAGCAGGAGTTCATGAAAAAGAGAAAGAAAGGGAAGTTACCCAAAGAAGCGAGGCAACAGCTGCTGGATTGGTGGAGCAGGCATTACAAATGGCCTTATCCATCGGTAAGTACATTTTATATCCTCAAAAACTTCATCAAACCCCTACTCTGTTGTGCCTTACTGTAAGAATTATAAGCTGGGGATGCATTTGTGTTATTTTTCTTGTCATAGCACCCCAGATGCTTAAATACCGTTTTTTTTTTCCGTCTGCTTCTATTTGGGAATGTATTATATGCCACAAGAGGTTTGTTAAGATCTTGAAGTGGAGCTGAATTGGCCTTTCTTTACCTCCCCTTGGTTAATTTCTTATTGGTTAAGTTTCCTTCTTGTTTTCCAAATGCTGGTAGTTGGTAGATGATAGTCCAACTTTTTGTTTCTGACTTGTTTTGCGGCGATTGAATTAGTTTTATTGAAGCGCAAACTAAAATTAAATCAACCCTTCGAATGCAAGTGCAAGCATATAATGACTACATTTTTCTTCGGCGCAAGCAAATAATTATACATTTTGCTTTGGAGCTTGATGCCTTGATCTATGTTTGACGCAACGATTTATGTTCATAGAATTTTCAGTTATTTTATGTGGTGAAATGTGTTCTTAACAGGAGTCACAGAAGCTTGCCCTTGCGGAATCCACTGGTCTGGATCAGAAGCAAATAAACAACTGGTTCATTAACCAAAGGAAACGACACTGGAAACCCTCAGAGGACATGCAGTTTGTGGTGATGGATGCCGGCCATCCGCATTATTACATGGATAATGTTTTGGGTAATCCCTTTCCAATGGACATCTCTCCCACAATGCTTTGAAGACCATGATACATGATTGATCTTTTTATTGTTGGAATGCAAGTGCTTTGGTCTAAATACACTTGCCATTTGACATGCAATCATATATGTTGTGTACTAGTTTGCATCCGGAGGCTATCTAATGTAACTGAATGTTGTTAAACCAGCCCTTCTCTTATTTATATATATTATATAGTATAGTATGTTTTCGATTGTTGTTTGTAGATGGTTGTGGTTAAACAGATGCCTAGTTCCTGCTAGGTTAAGAGGACTTTCAAGGCATAAAGAAACGTCAAATTTTTTTTTCTGGGGGTCACATGTTATATTCGTATGAATTATGTTTTAGTTTCGGAGTGTCTTTCCATACTTTGATTATGTTTTGATTCCCAGCTTTTTGGCCGAAATGATCTATTTCTTATGGTAGTTTATGTTCTATTTCTTATGGTAGTTTATGTTCTATATATGAAGTTCTGAAACTGCACAGCTGTGAGTTTTGGCAATGAATTCATGTGTGCTTGAGTCCTGACAAACTTAGACGAGGCCATATCTAGGACTTGCTCAATCATTTTCAGTCCAGGTTGGGGACTCGATGGGAGTACTAGTTTCTTGGTTTCTTTGGCTTTTTCGAAATTTAGGGTTTTCGAACCCTGCAGCAAATTGATGCAGAAGTAATCGAAGCTTCATGCATTGTGTCTTTCTTTCTCCATTGTTTGAGATCCAAATCTGGGACTCGTTCGATCATTTGCCGGTCCAGGTTGGGGACTTGATGGGAGTTCTAGTTTCTTAGTTTCGTTGGCTTTTTGGGAATTTAGGGTTTTCGAGCTCTGCAGCAAATTGATGCAGAAGTAATCGAAGCTTCATGCATTGTTCCTTTCTTTCTCCATTGTTTGAGATCCAAAGAGGCTGGGAAAGCTTGAGCATGCCTCTTTTGAGCAAGTATTGGGCCTCCTTTCAACCAACTGATGAGCACATCTAGTGGCTGCTGCTTAATGAACAGATAGACCTACTAACTTCAGCAGTCTATAATTTGTTCACACTTATCATTTGCTTTGTTTTGCTTAGCGTTAATTGTTTATTTTGATTGGTAATTTATACTTTTAGATTTTCTAAGGATAATGGATTAACATTTGTATTAAAAATAAACCCTTCTAACATTTCACTGAGCAAATTTTAAGTGAATACCACTAGTTTTTATAAATTAATTAATTAGTCTTTCTGTATTTAAATGTATTTGTAGCTTACCTTTTTTTTCTTTTTAATTTTCTGTTTTTAAGAAATTAGAAAAAAAAATGGAATGATCCATGAAAATAGAAGATATATTTTTTTCATAACAAAGTAATGTTAAATTAACATAGGACAATTCTGATAAAAACATAAATCAATTAGTTTTAAACAAGAAAGAATTATTCGATTTGTTTTTCTAATTAAAATTAGAAGAACTAATTTATGATCTTTACTCTAATTCATCTTGCTTTTCATTGGCCAAAATAATAATAATAATTAAAAGCTCTATGTATTTTAATTCAAACTTACTAGCCCATACACTTAATTTTTGCTCATGTCTTTCCATACTAACAGGATGGTGTGATTAAAAAAAAAAAAAAAATCATAATAAAGCTTTTAAGAAACGAAAGTAATCCTTTCTTTCAAGACATTGGTTTAAATGGTAAAGTAGAAGATTAGGGACATGTTTAGGATTTTAGAAGCCAGAGTACTGGCAATTGGTTTAATGTAGCCATGGAATATATATATATATATATAATTTTGGGTGCATATTCAAAATTTTTAAAATTTTAGACTAAACTGAAAAGTTTTCCAAATTTAGGGTTTCATGGGTCCTCCAAGCTCCAATACAATTACATTCGTGGACAATTCATTCATCTTAGGTGTTGTTTGATTACTAGAAATGTAATAGTGAAATTTAAATAGAAGTTTTATTTTTATTTTGTAATTGTTTAGTTGAAAGAAATGAAATAGAAATCAAAATGAAAATTACACATATATTTATTTTCATGTAAAAAGTAGAAATGAAAATAAATATTTTTTTTTAAAAAATAACATATTATTTTTATTTATTATTCTTTTGGTGCAACGATATAAAGCTTTAACATGAGATTATCATTTAAAATACAATTTTGATATTATAATTTTATTTAACTCCAATTTTGCTCAATAAAATAATACTATTTGTGTAATAATACCTATCGAAATAGTATTTTATTTTTACCCTCCTTAATTATCAAAGCTAGTTTCGTCCCTGCTTGGTATATAAAAGTGGGAGATAATTTATTTGAACTTTTAAATTGGAATTGAATGGAAATTTTTGGAAGAGGAGGAATCAGCCTTTGTTAAAAGGGAACACAATTAATAAATAGTTTTATAGTGCTGCTATTTTTACTGAAAACTTCTTCTTTATAAATTTCAACCATGGGATCTATGAAATTCACCAATGGGATTAAATTTTTCTGGCAATTGAAATCAAGAAAATATTAATTAAAATTAACTCTACTCCTTCCATCAACTAAACGAGGATATGTATATATGAAAACGCTTATTTTCGAAGAACAAATAAATACAATTTATCAAATATCCTAAAACAGTTCTCATATAATTTTCTATTAAAAAAAAAACATCTCATATAATGTTTATTTTTCATCATAATACTTACCCTTAATGGTTATTTAATCCATTATTAGTTAAATAATTTCTATAATAATTCCATTTTTTATTTATTTTCATTGGAGGTGCTACTTTCTATAATAATTAATTATTTTGGCTTAACTTTGTTACAAGTAAGATTTTTTTTTCTTACAATTAAGTTGATATTTTTTAGTGTAATTAATTTGAATATTTTGTACATTGTTGAAGTACATGAATTCCATGGAATTTGTAACATGCTTTGTGTGTATATATATATATATATATATATATCTTATATATTTGAAAAATGCTTTCATTAAATTGAATATGAATTATTATTATTATTATTATTTTTAATCAAAGGGATGTTGCAAGCTGATCTTTGAATGGGGTTAATATTATTTTTTTCCCCCACAAGTCTCCATATTGTATATTCCACAATAGGATCTCAGATAAACCAAAAAAAGAAGGAAAAAAAAATTATGTTGGCAAATCAAAAATTGAAAATGGTTTGTTTTTCAGAACTTGTTTGGGTTGCTATATAATATATGGGTTTATTACCAATTATAATATATAATATCAACCCTCAACTTGGTAATTTAACTATTTATAAACCTAGGACTTCGATTGGTTCATGTTTAGGGTTAAGGTTTAACAATCAAATTCACAACATTATCTTTACGTGTCTTGTTTAAGATCTAATGTGGAAAGTAATCGTATAGAAAAAACACATAATTCTAGTAGTTGGTGGCCCATTATACTTCATACTTTTCTTAAAAGCCCATAAATAATAGAGTGGGCCATTAAACTACTAGATTCATACTTTTCTTAAAGCCCATAAATAATAGAGTGGGCCATCAAACTAGTAGATTCATACTTTTCTTATAGCCCATAAATGTCAGATTAGTTTGATCCATATTTTCTCCCAATTCTCAAATAGTTGGGGGCCCATTAAACTTCTCATTAAACCCCACGGCAGGAAGGCTTTGGGGTTTTGCTTTGCTTCTCTCGTCTCTCTCCCACTCTTACAGTGCCTCCTTTCTCCAAAACGAACTAACCTCTCCGGCTGGAGGAGGATCGACGGCTATTACTTACCGGTCTCATTTCAACATTCAGGGTTCCATCTCACGGTACTCTCCTTTCTAACCCCAAGGGATCTTAAGTTACTTATGTATTATTTCTCTGGAGCATTTTATCAAACTTGTAGCAGTCGTTATATTTTTTCATTTCCCCTTATGAAAGATTCGGATATCATTATCTTATCATAATTAATGGTTAATAATTCCATTTGATTTTCGATATTTTTGTTTAATAGTAGTGAAAATCATGGAAAAAACTGAACTTTTTGATTAATAGATGAACAGGTGAGGAGAAATTGGCTTGCTTGCATCAGTGGAGTTGTGTTTTCTAGTTAGTTGGGGTTATGGCTTTGTCTATTTCGAGAAGGTTTTTGCGTTCTTTTGGATCCTTGTCTCGGTTTGGTCGCTGTGGTGATTCTTCTAGTCTTACTAGTCAATCATTTCGAGCTTCTCATGGTAAAGGAACTTGCTTTACTGGAAACGTTGTGGGGTTTTTTCAGTTTTAGCTTTATTTGAATTCTGTTTACCTTTATTGTAACAGATTTGTATGGACCCGTTTCTGGGGATTGCTTATTTTCTGCAGAATCTTCTAGCTTGATCAAGGTATGTACTCATTGATGTGATTTTTGTTTTCTTTCTTCTTGCACATTAATTTTTGAACTTGGAGGATGTGGGTTATTTATGTGCAGCTTGTCAAACTCTACTTCGATTATGATAAATGACGCCGTGTTTTGTTCTTGCTTTGGAAATGAACTTATGAACTGATGGTATATCATGTTTTAATGTAGGGTGGGGCATCTTCCCTTTCTTATCGGAGGCTTTCGACGTCTAACGTGACTTCTGAATCTACTAATGAATCAATTCCTTCTGGTTTATTATCTGCAAAGAATGTGGTAACGCCACAACATGAGATAGGTACAAACTATGAAGAGAGTTGAAATTTTGCTTGTATGACAATGCAGTTATGTTTTTGCACTTGTTTTGCATTTATCTACATTTAGTTAAATGAAGTTATCACAACCCATGGTATTATATGATCAAAGGGTAATTGAGATTGTAACATGACATTTATTTTTGGAACTTGATGCTGAAAACAGACTCGAACCAACATCTTAATTTGGTTCTGGTTTCAACTTTTTTAGTGTGGTTACCATTATCAAATCTTTGTTAGTTAGTTGAGCGGTCCAGTTATATTATAACTAGCAATTATTCTATATTGATCTTTTAGTTGGATGTTTCCTGATTAAACGAAAAGAAAAGGCAGGTAGAGTGGTTTGACCTCAGTTATAAAACATTTGCATCTTACATTAGATTTGTGTTAATGTTTACCACTTCAGCCCTGTTGATGTTACGAACAAGAGGGAAAAGAAAAGCCATCACATACTCCAGGAGATTCTAACTCTTTTCCAATATTTTTGCCTTCTTCCAGTTCACCTATCATTGTGTTTTAGGGATGGCAATTTGACCTGCCCCACCCCGCCCTGATTTTCCCCGGTCAACACGGGGAATCCCTGCATTGACCGGGGAACGGGGCAGGGTGGGGATGGGATTTGCCTGCCCTGCCCTCTTTGCCCCTTTTTTTTTTCATTAAAATTATAATTATACCCCATATAAAATCTATGATTAGTAACTTTTAAGGTTTATTTTCTATATAAACCATCATTTTTTTTTAACTATAGTTTGAAATTTAGTAGTAGAATGGGATAAAACGAGACGAAAAAAAAAAAATTAACAATTTTTGCCCCATTTGGGGCGGGGATGGGGAAATTTTTTTAGGGGCGGGGCGGGGACGGGGATCCCCACTCCATTGCCATCCCTATTGTGTTTATATTGTTCCTACATCTTTCTCATGGAACAAGCAATATCATGCAATCCAATCCAATAAAAGTTTAATTTTCCTACTGGTTGACGTTGCAAACCAGAGGTTTGACTCTTGGTTGTGATTCAGGTCTTGTAAATACCGTTTTAGTTCTGTCCTTTACCAGGATATTTAAAAATGCAAGATTTATCTTATGCGGCTGATTGATTCACTGTTTGAGGCTTAATTACTTTGAATTTTAATTTTTTTTTTTGTTTTTAATAATTACAACTCAGGCATATTATATTGACGTGTTTTTGTGATACAGGACTTTATCAGGACCTGGTAATTCCAGTGACAAATTTTCATAATGAGGACAAGGGCTTAATGGTTTTGGCTGGGGATGTTTTTGATGTCCCTATCAGGAAGGATATTATTCACCGTGTTGTGCGATGGCAGCTTGCTAAACGACAACAGGTTGTCTCAAACCACCATGCTTAAAATCTTCAAAGCATTTAACTGTGATAAATTTACAACTCTGCTACTAAAGATGAAATCCTAATGGATTATGACAAATGTACAACTCTGTTCCTAACCATATCATTGATAAAACATATTGGTTTTTTTTTTTTTTTTTCGAGAAAAGCTGTCTAATGACTTCCTAGTTTTTATCTGCTATGTGTCATGAACTGAAATGAATGTTGTATTTCTAAAAAAAAAGAAAAATTCTGCTACCTCAATGTTAGGATTTCATCTTTAGAAAGTGGATGCCTCTGATATTAATATCAATTGAGTTGTCAACAGGGGACACATTCAACAAAAACAATCAGTGAGGTTAGTGGGACTGGCAGAAAGCCATATCGTCAAAAGGGCACTGGCCGAGCAAGACACGGCACATTGCGTGGGCCCCAGGTATAGAGCCTCTTCTGCCCATGCCCATGTTGATCATTGGTTTAATTGATTATCAATGCTTCTGTATCTTGAAGAAAAATTAGGTGGTCTAACTTCAATGATTGTATAACAGTTCAGAGGTGGTGCTGTCATGCATGGCCCTAAACCACGAAGTCATGCTATTAAAGTAAACAAGAAGGTGAGGCGTTTGGGGTTGAAGATTGCCTTGTCAGCTCGTGCAGCAGAAGGAAAGGCATGGCTCTAAACCTCTAAATCTTCGATTTTTACATACGCCTGTCTTTGAAAGGCTGGAACTTCCTTGAGTCAGCCTGTGTAATTACCAAACATGTCCACCTAGAAGTGGGTTATATGGGATTTATGTGGTTTAATATGTTCGTAGTATGGCATATTAGGTTCTCTATCTTAATATTACACAATGCATCATCAAATTATGCTTTGGGGAAGATCTTGGCTCTTTTTTGTTGTCATTATCTTTGGAATCCCCAGGCCTTGTATTGGTTTGATTGCTGCTGACTTGAAGTATTGTGGTTAGTCTTGATTTCATTTGTCTGCTATGCTAACAACACCTCCTCTTCTTGCACTCATAATTGATATTCGCGATAGCTCCTAATTTTTGCATTTAATGAGCAATAATTTTAAGTGAATTTTGGAATGCACAGCTTCTGGTTTTTGAGGATTTGGAGGTGCCAACACATAAAACCAAGAATATTGTGAACTATGTCAATGAACTGGAGAACGCCAAGAAATTACTGCTGGTGGATGGTGGCCCCATTAATGAAAAGCTGAAGTTAGCTACTCAGAATCTACATTATGTAAACGTACTGCCATCGATTGTAAGTTGTGGTTCTATCCTTATTCCTTTCCATGTACTTTGAATTTGTTGCTGATTGGTTAAAGTTCTACCAAATTTCATCTTTGGGCATGCAATTTGACTACCCTTACTTACAAGGGAGAGCAGTAAATTACAAATAATCTAATCAATACACCATATAACCTTCAGTTTTTGCCAACCAACACCCTTATATTTTCATTCTTGTTCTAGCTTCCTTTCTATAGCTTTGTTTTCATTCTTAGCTGTGTATCACGCAGTTTGGTCAATGAAATTTTTTCATTCATTAAAAAACTGCTCGTTGATTTATTTTTTCCTCCCCTATAGATGATAGTGCGCAGGAATTGTGGTTAAGTCGGATGGTTTTCTTCAGCCACTTTAATTTTTGAATTATTCTCAATACCAAAGATTTCCATTTTAGATGTCTGGATCAGTTATTTATTGGAAGGGCTTCCATCCCTCACTGTCAGTTTTTTTTTTGGCTGTTTTTGCAGGGTCTAAATGTGTATAGCATCCTGCTGCACGATACATTGGTGATGTCCCGGGATGCCGTGAACAAAATTGTCGAGCGGATGCACACTCCAATCAAACGATGAGGCGTACATGGTTTAATTTAATTTGTAATGTATGCTCTACTCCATTAGGAATCCTTGTTTTCCTTTTATAGGAGAACACCAGCCAAAATAATTCATGTCTCTGGTTTTTTGTTATAAGATGCCAAGATGTTCATTCCATGTATGCTAGTTTTGTCTTCGAGCTAGGAATTTTTGTAGTTGAATTTTGGTGGACTTCAAATATCGGCATGGCCATCTTTTTTTTTTTTCTTTTTTTGGAACAACATGGGTTGGCAAATTGTGCATTGGTACTTGCAGACATTAATTTACTCTAGATGTTCATCCATGTGCTGCATCACAAGGCACTTGTTGTTGATTAATATTTTCTGAAACATGTATTTCAAGATGCAATTTGGCATTTGATGGTGTGAGATTTGTTGAGGTTGAATTGACACTCGATGCCACATCGAAGCCCCACTTAGGACTATCATGTGTGTTGGTAAAGTTACAGCTTGACAAAACGACTCCCATCGTCAGGTCAATAACACCCAGCTGAGAGTTGAAAAAGAATAGCTGCTAGGTCAGTTTCACATCGGAAATTCTGGGCATTTGATTTGGACATGTCATACATCTCGCTCAGTGCGCTTAGAATGGCTAAAGTTCACACCTTTGGATTAGTTTTTATTGCCAAGGCAATCTAAGAAACGGAAATATTTGGCAAAAGAAACACTTGAAAAAAATATTAAATTATATGCATCTCTATCCTTAAATAACGATTTTTATCCTTTTTATCTTTAATATGATATAATTTTGATTTATAACATTATCCATTGTTATAATTGATTATTATTACTATCATGAACAACGATTTAAATAAAAACTGTTATATTATTGTTTTAATTGAAAATAAATTTATTAACAATGACTGCACTGGATCTTATTTTTACCATCTCCAGACGATTTAAAACTATGCGCACACCTGATGAAGGATAAATTTTCACGACAGGTGTTTGCTTGAGAGTCGAGATCCGACTTGATGTGGAGAGGTGACTTGATCTGAGAACACTGATATGTGAGGTGAATAGCGTTCGGACAGCAAATTAGAGATGACCAAACTACCCCACATTTATAACCGTTAACTTACATGGGAGATGAAGACAAGAACTCAGAAAAGACAGTCCAAAGCTATGACACAAATGGGGTTACATGGCAACACACCATTAGCCAAACCAAAAGACAAAACTTAACCAAATCAAAAACCAGCGTCCTTAAACTCTTACGAGCAGAGATGAAAAACCATACCATTACCGCTAAATAACACAGTTAGTAATTAATTAAAAGCTTTTTACACACTCACACATTAAAAAAAAAAGTCACTGTAGCAGGTCAAGAGTCACAGTATCTTCTTCTGCTGTCTTCTCTCTCTCTCTCTCTTCAAATGTCAAGAAGCTAGGGTTTCTCTCCCTCCAAAATCGCCATTTCCACTTTCTCCCGAAATCTCACTTTATCACTATCAAAAAGAGCAGAGATTTAGGGCTTCAAGCTTCCATGGCTAAAACCAGACCGGGAGGCCTTATCTCCAAGCCTAAAACAGGCAAGAGGGACCTTGACTCCTACACTATTCGTGGCACTACCAAAGTTGTTAGAGGTAATAACATTATCAAAATGCATGTTTGCACTTATCTTTATCTGGGTTGTTGTAAAGTTCGGGTTTTTTTTTTTGTCTGTTTTGTGGTTTTTTTTGAAATTGGGTTGTTGTCTTTTTGGTGTTTTTGATAATGGGTTGTTGTAAAGGTTTGATCTTTTTGTGTGTTCTGTGGTGTTTTATGTAGTGGGGGATTGTGTATTGATGAGACCATCTGATACTGGTAGGCCTTCATACGTGGCAAGAATTGAGGGGATCGAGGCTGACAGCAGAAACAACGTGAAGGTTAGAGTGAGATGGTACTATAGGCCAGAAGAGTCTTTAGGAGGGCGCAGGCAGTTTCATGGAGCTAAAGAGTTGTTCTTATCAGATCATTATGATGTGCAAAGTGCTCACACTATTGAAGGGAAGTGTATAGTTCACTCTTTTAAGAACTATACTAAGCTTGAGAACGTTGGAGCTGAGGATTATTATTGTAGGTTTGAGTATAAGGCTGCTACTGGAGGTTTCACACCAGACCGTGTTGCTGTGTGAGTGTATTTTCAGTGTGGTTTAGATTTGAGTATGTTGGAATGTGCTTTATGTTTGATTAGGTTGTTGCTGTTTGATTGAGGTCGATTGGTTTTTTATTTTTGAAGGTATTGCAAATGTGAGATGCCTTATAACCCAGATGATCTCATGGTGCAATGTGAGGGTTGCAAGGACTGGTAATGTTGCTTTGTTGTGGCTGTGTGTTGAAATTTTTTTTTTTTTTCTTTTTTTTGTTAGTTTTCCCCACGGTAGTGCCATGGCTAAAAGATTTGGGAAATGTTTCTGTAAGAATTTAAGAAAGAAAAAAAAAAAAGGGGGAAATTTTGTGTCCCAAGGCGAAGGAGCTAAGTACTACCACTTTTAAACCCATTCCCAATAGAAGGCTCACAAATAAAAGAAAAAAGAGTTTTGTAGGTGAACTTCTCTGCCACCCAATCATGAATTTTAAACAGTGAAAGGAGCACAAGGATTAGAATGAAGCAATTATTTCTATGAAGGAACGAAGTGCAAAATATACTCCAACAATTTGTGTTGCTTGATGTGTGAATGTTGACTGTTATTTTTGCTGATAGCTTGATCTTATTAAGAGCTATCCACCGTCCGTCCTCTTTTTCCTTTTGGATCATAAATCTGGACTTTAGTTGGTGTTTATTCGAGTTAAGTTTTTCGAATGGTACTTGCATCATTCTGACGCTTTATTCGTTTGCTGTTCAAGACTATTTCTTAATGCGCTTTAAGTCAATACCACTTATCAAGGTGTGATTTTTCTTGGTTTTTCCTTTTCCAAATAAGATCATTATTAATTCTCTGGGGTTTTATGCTCTCAAATACAACTGAAAAGTCATAGTTCTGTCGTCATTAAACTCTGACTCACCAATTAGTTAGATCTACCTATGTGTAAAAGAAACAAAATGTTCTTCGTCTTGCATTGTCTAGTGCTTACTTACCCATAGTGAATGCAAGTCACCTCGCTACATTCCCAAATTCAGGCCTTTGGATGTAGTTTGAATGGCAGGAGATAATTGTGCCTGTATGCTTATGCATTAGAATTTGACATCTTCCTATGCTGAAGGGAACAAAACATTTCTTGTCCCTTATTGTTTAATAGTGGCTAACTTATAGCGGACATGAGTATCTTTGTCTGCCACAAATGAAGGCCTTTTGGAGGCATTGTGAATAGTAAGGGAATTGTGTCTATATGTGCACGAATGATGCCCGTGTTAAAAATGGTTCTAGTCACCTGCTTTTATAGTTACACTTCTCATGTTTTTTGTAGGTATCATCCTGCTTGTGTGGACATGACAATTGAAGAGGCAAAAAAATTGGATCACTTTGTGTGTTCTGAATGTGCATCTGATGATGATGTCAAAAGATCACAAAATGGATTCTCAGCATCATCAGTAGCTGATGTCAAGGTGAGACTTCTCTCTATCCTGTTTCCCTTTTTCTGGAGAATCATTTTTGTGGCCTTAATATGCCCCATTCACTGTGCATGACATGCTATGAGGTTGTTTCTATGACAATTTTTGGTTGTGATTTCATCAAAAGTATTCATTATTACAAACTTTTGTGTGGAGTAGGTTGTTGATATTAGTGTTTTGATGCCTCTAATGTTGGATGTATGGCTTGGATAAGTAATACTTGAGTCTCCATTACCATTATGGCATCTACCATCCTTTTGGGTAAAATCTACTGAACATTTAACGGGTGTAAAATAATATATTTGTTGGATGCACTGCAGCTTTCATGTATGGAACTGAATACATGAGTTTCGGCTGCAGTTTGTCACGGTAGTTGCTGATCTTGAAAACAAAAGAATTTTTAACCTGCAGTAAGCACAATCCATATAGTTCACACAGCAGTTTGGCTTCGTGCTTGCATTTATTTATTTATGTATTTTAAATCTTATTTGTCATGGCCTGTGATCAATCAAAGCATTTATTTTTCTATTACTTTGCGTTAGAAGATATCTTGCTCTTATATAGCTCCATGGTTTTTTTGCTACACTGGGAATACCATTTACAAGTCTTTGTTGTTGCCTAATCCTTATCTTCTTCTTCTGAAATATGGAGAGTTGGTTGGCTTATAATGTTCAGAAGATTGCAACTTTGATGCTCACATCTCGATTTGAAAATTTGAGTTATTGTATTGAGCTGCTTGGATGAGATGGATTTGGGTCCAATGGTGTCCTCTTCATCTTAATTGTTGTGGTATAGGGGGCTCTGCTGGGGTGGTGCAAATGCTGGAAGTGGTTTGAAATAGATTTTTATATTCATTGCTCTGTCCAATCCTGCAATGTATGAGAGAAATCCTGAACTACCAATCTAAATTTGGGTCCATGGTTACAGACTATAATTAGAGTTTGGGTCTGCCCTTATATTAGAATCCATTGTGATATATTTTGCCCATTTTGCTCCGTTGTGTGCTTAATACTGCTGCCTGTTGATTCTTTAGTAGGCTCTAATATTCTTACTTGAAAACACGTTTTCTTCTGTGGCAGAGTTTGTATAGAATTGATTTTGGTTGAAACTAAGGCAAGGTGTCCATAATTTGCAACTGTGCATGCTCATTATTCTGATTCTAACACATCTTAAGAATGATTTAGGATCGGGATCTCATTTCAAAACAAAATAAAAAGTTGGGATGTGATGTTATAATCAGTTGGAAAGACTACTATCAACTTCTTGTTGTCTTCAATTTTTTTTTTTTCCTTTTTGGCATGCGATAAAAATTGAGCCAGATCTTGTCTTTTCACATTTGGGTTTGTACATGTAGTCCTTTGACAATTGGTTTCTTGAAACTTTGTTTGAAGTCACTTCTAATTTCTTACTGTCATCATCTTACAACAACAACTTTGTGTTTTCTTCATTATTTATTGGAATTAAGTTATTTGTCTATGCCAAGGGTTTTCTTTCCACAATGATGGATGGTTTTCTGTCTAAGTTCGGATGTTGATTAGGGAAAAACAGTCGTCACATATAGCCCAATCTTCATATATGATGGAATGTCTTCCCCCTTTATTCTTCTACAAAACCAAATGATTATTGAAGTCTGTGAACTTTACAGGTAGAAAACAAGCGCCGGAAGAGATGAGTGCAGTTAGGAGGTCAGTGAGATGCACAGGGAGAGACCTAAATCTTCTTGCAGGTTTAGCTTGTAGATTGTTGGTGTGATGTATAGTGCAAATGACCATGGTGTGCTTTGCTCAAACTGGGCTGTCAGTAATTTCATGTGTTTTGTCTTGTGGATATGTAAGCTATGCTAGGTTCATCAGGACATAACTATCCTGGAAAAAAAGTTTCATTTTGGATGTTTTCTGACATCAAACCTAATGCATGATGGAGTAGACATTCCTGGTTTCTGGTATTCCCTTTGCGTAGCCAAGACAGCAAACACTGCCTAAATCCTAATGGTTGGTTCACTTAGCCATTTTGATGGCAACCAACTTAATTTACGCTGCGGTTGCTCATTTGTTGACCATATTTCACACGCATAGAATTTTCACTATAGTCTATTACAGTATTACCAGACTAGACTTGTGATGCATTGCCCATGTCTGAACTGATGGTTGCGAACTGACTTTCGTTTTTACACTGTTAAGCCACGTGGACTAAGAAGAAGACAAATGGACCCAGCTTGGGTCTCCTTTCCTACCAAATTTTCACGTTTTGGTAGCTGACCTGAAGAATTTTGAGCCTGAACTGTCTGTCGGGCCTGACTGTGTTTTTTCATTGTTTCTTTATGTTTTTCATTTGGCAAGATTAAAGTGAAAAGTCAACAGCAATATTCTACCAATTCCGAGCTAATAAGCTAAACAATGCAGTGTGGATCATGTAGCTCTGGGGTTTGCATTGCTTTTGCAGCTTGTTAATGGAACCCTGATGATGATTGCAGCCTATTTTTCCTTCGATTTTCTGCACTTTTTTCTGTCCTGCAATGAGTATTATATACTTGAGATCACCCTGGTGGCCGAGGACTGGGTGCATGTACCTCGTAACCATAAGAACAATCCTCTCAAGTTATTTTATAAACAATGTTTTCATGCAGTCAAATGATTAAATTATTAGACAATGTTATTATTATATTTAATTAGTAAAACTAAATACTGTCAAATATCACTACTTTTTCAACATTTGGATGTATTATATAAGTTTTCATGTAATCAAATGATTAAACTATTAGAGATATTATTATTATTATATTTAATTAGTATAAATGTTAAAAATATATGAATTAGAATAAATTAATTACTCCCTATGTCCAAAATGTTAGTCTTTTTTTTTTTTTACACAGTTTAAGAAAAATATTAATTGTTATGACACATCAATTTTTTTTTATATATATATTTTTTAAAATATCCTTTCATGCTGTCAAATTTGAGTTTTGAAATTTCTAAAAAGAGAGATTATTTAGCTCTCCTAAAATCAAAGTCTCAAATTACAATATTGTTTCCTCTCAAATTTAAGTTGAAAAACTTTCAGAAACATCTAAAAATCATTAATGAATCCTAAATTTTCTATAAAATTTTAAGCCAAAAAATTAGTTTAAAAATAAGAAGCCAAATCAAGATTTTTGTCCCTCCTAAATTTAAATTGGAAAATTTTAGAAAGATCTAGAGATCATTAAGCCTTCCTAAATTTCTTATGGAATTTTATGCCAAAAAATTAGCCCCAAAGTCAAAGTGCCAAATCAAAATTTTTGTTCCTCCCAAATTTAAGTTGGAAGAACTTTAGAAAGATGTAAAGATCATTAAGGAATTCTAAATTTTTCATAAAATTTTAAGCCAAAAAATAGTGAATAGTTTTGATTAAGGAGTCCTAATTATTTAGTAGGAACAAATATAAAAATTTTCGTTTAAGCAAATAAAAATTAGAGCATATAGGACCACTTCCAATTTATTTTAAATGCAATCTTGATATTTTGCAAACTGTTATGGATTTTTTTAAAAAAGAATGAATAGTTTTCATATAATAAAAGGTTTTCTTTTTCAAAAAAATTGTATGTGTAAAAAAATAAAAAGAGTAAAGAATGTTGATTTTTTAGTTAGTAAAAAATAATAAATGGAAGAATTGATTGATTAGGAGTATATCAGGAAAGTAAAATCATTTTAGAACAGATATAAATAGAAAATAAAACAATCTTTTTATGACAAAAGGAGTAATATTTATTAATATATTCATGACATAGGTTGTGGGAAAAATTATTTTTGTTATTGCCATAAGCTGCAACTTTGATTGTTATAGTGACTGTTTTTCCAAATGCATTTATGATTTAAAACTACAATTTTAATTATAATCAATGATAAATTCTTTTTAGAAGAGTAGCCACTCACTCCAACCATGAATTTCATTTCATTATTTGTTTAAATCTCATCAACATTCAATCAATCAAAATCCCTCTCAAATTTAATCAAGAAAGACTATAAAAAAAAAAAAACTCCAAAAATCAACTTAAAAATGATCAAAGTCAATGTATATGGAGATGGTCATTATAATAATTTTCTGATAGGCATGGTAGCATGCACAAGAAGCACCCCTAAAAGCCTTTCCTCAATATCCTCCACCAACTTTACATTGCATAAAAAAAGATTACAACGTAATGATATAAAGGAATAGTAACGGTTTTAGACCAAAGGAGGGCTTAGGGCTTCCTTTCCATATTAGCCAACTGTAACAGCTTTATTCACATTGACAATGCGTCTAGGTATCATTACTTTATGTTTCTGCATGCTGTATGGCACCTTATCTTATCCACCATCCCTCTTGCCTGAGCTCATTTCACCGAAAATGATCATGGCTGCCAAGGTTAATACACAGGCTTCTTCGGGCTATCGTGCTTTACTGATCGTTCTTGCCTTTGTCGTGGTTTCTGCTTGTTATGCAGAAGAAAGATCGGTGTACTTGGTCTTAATGGAAGGAGAGGCAGTTGCATTTCATGGAAGCCATTTATCTCATGGAGGAAGAAAAGTACGAACAGTACTTAACAGGTATTGCTATTCTTGTTTTCCTGTCTTGAACATCTAGGGCAAGGGAGAGAATGGATTTTTTTGAGGTTTCATATGGTTCTATTCGTGCTGATCTGGATATAGATTTTTGTATGGATGGTTAGTGAAGTTTCCAGGGCTCATGCAAAGCACTTGGTGGATTCTCATGACCAACTTCTACAAAGCAATCTAGAAACTGGAAGCTACAACAAGCTTTACAGCTTCAAACACATTGTTAATGGCTTTTCTGTCCACACAACCCCTTCTCAGGTTGTTTCCCAGTTTCTTATGGCCTTCTATATATTCTCTATAAGTTGATGATAGTAAAAGGAAAAGTATGATGGAGAAGAAGTAAATGTAAGTTTTGATGGTTGAAAATTTCAGGCAAACAAATTGAAAGATGCACCTGGAGTGAAGCTGGTGGAGAAAGATAGAGGAGCCAAATTGATGACAACTTACACTCCTCAATTCCTAGGGTTACCTCAAGGAGTGTGGGCAACGGAAGGAGGAGACAAAGATGCAGGTGAAGGGATTGTTATTGGTTTTGTTGACACAGGAATCACCCCAAAACATCCAAGTTTTGCTTATGATCTCTTGAATCCTTTCAAATCAAATATTTCTCATTTTTCGGGTGCTTGCGAAACGGGGACTAGATTCCCGTCTAGTTCTTGCAATGGGAAGATAGTGTCAGCTAGGTACTTCTCAGCTGGAGCTCAAGCAATTGCTACTCTTAACACCTCAGTGGACTTCCTCTCACCCTTTGATGCTGTTGGGCATGGCAGGTACGTAAATGCTGTTGAGTGTGATCAAATTAAAGAGCCATCTTCTGTAATTTCCATTGACAAAATCCAGTGTGCTTTGTTTAGTCATGTGGCCTCAATTGCTGCTGGAAATACTGGCGTTCCAGTGGTTGTGGATGGCTTCTATTATGGGCAAGCTAGTGGGATGGCTCCACGCGCACGGTATGCTGTTTGTTGTATACAGTAGGATTATTTACTTCGCTTGCGAAGGGTTTAAGCAACAGTTTGATGAGATGTAGCCTGATATTTTGACGTCTGTTGGCCTCAGAATTGCTGTTTATAAGGCGGTATATCCAACAGTGGGAACTATAACAGACGTGGTTGCAGCAATAGATCAAGTAAGTCTCCAGGCTTTACAGTTACTAGTCTGTAATGGATAATATCTACCTTCTATAGCATTGATATTGTTCATTGGATCTTGTTAATCTCTTCTGCTGATTCTGTGGAGCAGGCAACAATGGATGGAGTGGACGTATTAACGCTCTCAGTTGGACCAGATGAACCCCCAGAAGACACCATAACATTCTTAAGCGTGTTTGATGTTTTCTTGTTATTTGCTCGACGAGCAGGAGTTTTCATTGCGCAAGCTGCAGGTAACCACGGGCCAGACGTTTCAACTGTTGTATCTTACAGCGCTTGGGCTGTGGGCGTAGCTGCTTGCAGCACAGACCGAAGTTACCCTGGTTCTCTTCTTCTTGGAAATGGTCAAAAAGTTGGAGGTGTAGGTTTATCAGGTGAGAGGTACTTGATCATGGAGTATAGTTTGCATTCACCAGTATATGTTTCATGTACTTACGTATCAGGATCCATATAGCCGACCACAATTAGTTTGAGGTTGAGGCTAATTGGTTGTCTTCGTTATCGGCATCGTTGTACTTACGCATCACATAATCTTTTCCAGGACCTACTTTTGGAGCTGGGTTGTTTCTATATAAGCTGGTGCTGGCTAAAGATGCTGTTAGGGTAAGTGGGACATTCCCAAGGACTCCACCATATGTCGAAGAATGTCAATTTCCAGAAGCATTCGATCCTATTCTTGTGCGAGGCAGAATTGTCATCTGTGTCTTCTCATCTGGCTTCTATAATGGAACATCAAACATCGATGCCGTTATCAACACAGCAAGAACTCTTGGATTTATGGGTTTTGCTTTTGTTGCAAACCCGGTCTATGGTGATTTCATTGCAGAACCTATTCCTTTCGCCGTTTCAGGCATCATGATCCCCAAAGTTGCTGATGCACAGGTATTAAATGCTGCAACACAAAAGCATTAGGACTAGTTTTAAATAATGATCGTTACGTTTTATAATGGCTGTTATGTAACGGTTTCGAAATATGTCGTTACCGTTACTTTAGTATTATAATAAGCTGCGATCCACGATGATGACCACGATCGTTTTTTCAACCATCTGCGATTTAAAACTATACTTAGGCACCATGAACACTTTATGATGTGAGAAATCATGTAGTCTTTATATGCAGATCATATCTCAGTACTATGAGCAAAATATCCGGAGGGATAAGAGAGGACTTGTGTCTCAATATTGTGCAAAAGCAGCCATAGGAGAGGGTAGGGTTGCATCTTTTGTTGGGCAAGCACCTATCGTCAGCAGATTCTCTTCCAGGGGACCAGATTTTGTTGACATTAACAGGAAGCCTGCTGATGTACTTAAACCAGATATTCTTGCCCCTGGACACCAAATATGGGCAGCTTGGAGCCCCCTCAGTGCCTTAGATCCTATACTAACTGGTAAGCAAGTCATTATTATATATGCAGTTATTATCATTATTAGAATGATGAGAGTGTCTTGCAATATTGTCTAAACCTTGATAAATATTTAGGATACCATTTTGCGCTACTGTCTGGCACTAGCATGGCAACACCTCATATAGTGGGAATAGCAGCACTCATCAAGCAATATAATCCTTCATGGACTCCATCCATGATTGCATCAGCCATCTCCACCACTGCCACCAAGTATGACAATCGTGGAGAACTCATACTGGCAGAAGGATCTTATCTCGATAGCTACAATCCCTCCACTTATTTCGATTTTGGTGCCGGCCTTGTGTATCCTGCTCGAGCTATTGATCCTGGCCTGGTCTTATCCTCAGGTAACATCCACTCTCTGGAAGTTGTTTAGTACTCGTCTAACAAATTGATGATATATATGTAATTCTGAGGCAGAATTTGAAGACTACATAAGCTTTTTGTGCTCATTGCCTGGTATTGATTGGTCTGCAATCAAAGCTGCAACTGGAGAGTGGTGCAATCGAACACTTAGCTATCCAGTGCCAGCCAACCTGAACCTACCTTCGGTGACGATATCGGCACTAAGAAACTCTCTAACAGTCAAGCGGAGTCTGAAGAATGTAGGCAGCAGATCAGAAACGTACTCATGCTCAGTCCTATCACCTAATGGGACTATCGTTAACCTGTCTCCAACTCGGTTTAGAGTAGCTCCACAAGGAATACAAGTTATTGAGATACAGTTTCGAGTGGTCCAAGCTGTGGGTGAGTTTAGCTTTGGTGAAATTGTTCTAACAGGAAGTTTAACTCATATTGTCAGACTACCATTATCAGTTTTGCCTGTTTGAACATCATAAATATGGGTTGGAAATGTATAAAACACTATTTTAAGAGCATAAATTTCTGTTTTACAATGGCTAGAGCAATCAATAAATCAAAAGCAACAAGGAATGACAATCAATACCAAACAATTGCCCCTTCTTGTTCACAAACAATACCAAGGGGTACTTTGTATTCAGAAACAAATACTGAATTTTAAAAGCATCAAAAGCAATAGATTCCGTAGGGAGTGAATCATACTAGAAAATACAGAAGGTTAAGCTAAAGGAAAGGGAAAGAATGCAATCTTTCTATTAAGATAATCTCTTGTATGTTACTCTATTTATATTTTGGGCGTTTTTCCCCATTTGTCAATCTTTTGCTTACAAAGATTAGAAAGAATGGAATACATCAGATTAATAAAAAAAAATGGATGTTACAATGGCATCAAATGCCAGCTAAAGGAACACACTATTGTGTTAGACACATACACTCGTTACACCGTGGATATCTGTAAACACTCCTTGCCTTTGGCCTTTGCAGGACATGTTTAGTTTGTCTAACTGCCTTCCTAACTCTCTGCTCGAATATCTTCCATTCTATAGTGTTGTTCTTCAGGAAAATGTCAGCAAGTCTCCGCTTGTTTGGTCGAATTGTTGGCATCTTCCCTCCGCCATAGTATATTCGAAAACCAGAAACCAAAGATGACAACTGACTGCCAGAGTCTGTCATGGCAAATGCATCAGAAGCGGTGCAGGCTATGAAATCCAATGCTGCAAGCTACACAAGAAATAAGCTCATCATACTCGAAACTAATAAACGAGGAAAAACAGTTCAATGTTGGTAAAAAAAATAAAAAATTGACAGGTATAGCAGGATTCATGTATCATTTCATGGTGTAGCATAATTACTAGAGAATGTTGGAATAGGGAACACACTCTTGAGAGAGAGAGAAAAAAAACAGGGCTGCTGCAAAAGGGTAGTAGAATGCAAAAGAGCCAATCCTTTTGTCACTAAGCTTCTCAAAGCAACCAATATCTGAAACAAGAACTCCATAATTTTCGGTACATTTCTAAAGTGATCAGAAGATTGCATTGTTCTGGGGCTTAATTTAAACTCCCTGTCAATAAATGACATTTCCCCAGGTTCTGAAGTTTCATCGCAAGCTAAAAACTGAGGAAAAAAAAAAAAAAAAGGCATTCCCTAGTGATAGACTCACCAAAACTACACCTGGATAGGAATGCTTTGAAAAAAGTCCACCTAAGACCTATATTTTTTAGGAATGAAATGTGTTTCTCTCAAAACCCAAATCCACACATAAAAGCTACCTAAGATGTTCAGTATTGAGATCCAAGCAGCAACAAAAGGATCATCCAAAGTACTAGTCTTGGTCCCATGTCCACTTCAATCATAAAGATACCATGCATTAATAAAGTGCAAGCATGCAAGGATTCAGACTTCCTCCTAACACTGCATGTCTCCACCTAATGCACTCTGTCAAATAAAGCAGATGATAACCACAAAATTACAATATAAAAAAGTGGCAACAAATGCCACTTTATTACCTGAGATGAAAAATTCATGAATGGTTCGATTTCAGTCGCTGAAAGCAGTTTCTCTTTAGTGACTAAATTGGGATACAAGCTGGTTAAAGCAGTTAACCTTGAACTCCCACCATATATGTTTGCACCTGCTACAAATATATGTGTCTTCCGACGGAAGCCAAGAGCTGCAAGCATAAGTACTGCTTCCTCAGGTGTTAAGGGACATAAGCCTTCTGACCTGAGCGTTGCAGGAGAAGGCATCCTGCAAAAAGTCAAACAACATGACCAGGAAATAAGCCAAAGCAATTGCAGCACATATGCTATCCCTTCAATAATATAAAGAATCAAATGGATATCTCTTTTCCATAAATACGCAAGTACAAAGTATTCTTTCAAATAAAGTCATTCTTGGAATAGGAAAATGATGATAAGGTTTAGACCTACAAAATTGCAGCTGGAACCGAATAAGGAAAAGTGGAAGGTGGGTCTATAAATATAGGAATATTATGTTTTCAGAGTCTAAATGCATGTTAGGAATCCACCTACAGAAAGCTTTAGGAGTGTGTTTGTTTACAAATAACAATGCTTGTAATGCTTTATTTTAAAGAATCAGTTTATGAATACAACCTCCAGGAATTGTGCCTGTAAGTTGTAACTATGCTTGTAATGATTTATGAATATAACTATGCTTGTGATGCTTTATTCTAGGTGTGTCAACTCTACTAGCGTTACTCTAGTAGCTTTTTCACGTACATTGCAATTCATTTAAAAAGCTCTTCATTCTATTTATCACACAACATCCATTCAACTCCTAAACATCCACACGCTCATACCCAATCAATCCTATAACTATTAGCTCCCAAAATATCAATCCAAACCCTAAAATCTCTATTCAGTTACTGTTCACAGCCCCCTAAGCTACCCTGCATCAGATATGTTGTGAAATTAAGCAAGCAGGGACGCGTGGGACCACCCTATTCAAAAGGTGGGCTTCACCATAAAAACTTAGTAGAGTGGAAGAGGAAATAAATTCTTTCACACCTATCTGTCTACACATATAAAGACCAAAAAAATTGAAAGATAAGGAAAAAAAGGCCCTATGTTCTCAACTATTGCCTTGAATAAGATACGTAAAACTAAAGGCATCTGTTGATCCAGTGCATGCCAACATGCAAGAGATAAATACACAAAAAAAAAAAAAAAGTGCATACTCAGTTGTCTTCTTAAGAAGTGTCAATGCAGGGAAATGAATCTCACGATATGCTTCCAACTCTTTTCTCTCTTCTTCTCCTCCACCATAATCACACAAAGAGTGTGCTACCATGTCAATTTCGAACCTAAGATGTAGAGCTAGATATCTTGAAGCTTTGACAGCATGACCCACTTTTACTTCCAGATTTGATTCTGTATAAGGACCGATTAGATAATGATCCAACGGCCGAGGATGAGCACCATGTTTACGCAACCTTCTAAGGAGCAAAGCACCAGTTTCTTGTATCTTGGGCACAAATTTCAGCGCATGAAAATTACATCTGCATCGAAGTCTCTAGATGAAATCCCCAAAATTAGGATGAGCAAAGAAGGAACTGAAAGTAAGGATGATAATCTGGCAAATAGTGCTAACAATCTACCATCATTTGTAGCTAATTAGAGTAGCAAACACTAGAGGTTTACCTGCAACTGAAATGTTATTGGATCAAATGCCAAGCGGTTTCCAAATCCAACAAAATGGACAACTCTATTTTTTAGTAATAGAGGGAGAATGTTTTTTAAATAAAAACTTGGCTTCGATTCTTTCCCAATATCTGCATCTGTCACCTGTATGGCATTTGCGATATCATTACTAGAAACAAGTTACTGGAGATGAGAACAAATCAGGAATGAGTGCACTCAGAATTATTTTGAATAGGAAACTCACAACGCTTTTGATTGCTTCCAAATCTAGTGACTGCAAGTCCTGAGGCAGTTCCTTCACTATCCGAATATCAGGAGCGAGGTAATTAATAAAATGCTCCTCCTGATAGATGTCTCTGAATTGACTATGAAATATAGAATTGATTGTTAATTTTCTGCCTAAATCATATGCAAGAATAAGAATGACTCAAATAAATCACTTTGATTTGCATTGATGAAGCATTGCATTTACGGGAGAATTAAGTTAACTAACTCATTCTGGGTGCATAATAACAGTAAATATCACAAGCTGCGATCGCCTTAAATCAAGGCATACACAAGATTATTTCAACAATCCAATTATTAAAAGATGAAACTCATTTGAAGCAAGCACTTTCCTTGTGGATGGCAATTCCAAGCCAAACCATTAGGCAACCAGCAACTACCACTGGAAATTATGTTTTGTCCAACAATCAAAATGTAGACTTTCTCTGATGGGAAAATTTTAGAGAAAAAGAAGAGAAATATATATATTACCTCTCATCTCTCCAGACACTGCTGTACATAAATCTAGGGATAACAAGAGTTGAATTCAACAACCGTGCAATAGCCACAGAATTGCAAACCTGTTTTTAAAATAGAACAAAGCTTGAAGCAGTTGAAAATGGCAAATAATAAAATGCATATCAACCATTCAGAAGAAAAGACAGTTGCATACAAAACTATGTAACTGGGATACAAAATTATGAAAGCCGCAACTGGCCAAAGCATTACTTACAGCTACTCTTTGCTGGTTTATCCCTCCATTTGCAGTGACCAAAATGTAACCATTATTTCCCTCTACGAAGTACCACAGAGAAACACCTTGTTAGAACCAGTTCTCCACCACTATAACACACATGTTTACTCAAATTTAAGATATCAAAGTCATATTTCTGCATGATACACGCAGGCAGAATCACACACCAATGCAGACATTAATTCAAATGCCCACCTGCATACAAACACACATGCACACAGAAAGAGTGAGTTACCACTAGGATTCCAATTACGTTGATCAGCACAAGGGCTCCAAGCAGAAGCAGGAACAAATGGCTCCTCCCACAAATCTTTTGGCTCACGTTTATTCTGTTCCCATGTTAAACAACCGGGGGGAAAATCAATACAGAACACGAAAAAAAGAAAAAAAATCAGCTACACGAGGTTAAATCAGTAAAGATTGAACCAAAATAGCTCACCGCACCAAAACAAACTATATCTATATAACAAGATAAAAATTTGGTAATTCAAATACCTCAGCAAGGGCATGGGCAGCCAAAGCCAACATCCTATCAAAAGTACCCTTTCGCCGCCTTTTCCCTATACCAATCTTATTCAATTCTTGCTGCATTCAATTCAGGTAAACATGCAAAAAATTAAACAAACAACGAAGGGAATTGTTTTTAAGCTCAAATTCTCCAAATCACACAAACTATATATCTTTCCTAAATTAACAAAGATGAAATACAGCAATTAAACACCATTAACTTTTCCAAATTAATATAAAGAATCAAAATAGGAACTTTTTAAGCTCAACTCTTTCTAATTAATCA